GGATATCCCTATCCTGATTTTTGCTTACGTGCTTTTTTGGGGCCCCAATGTGGCACAGAAAGTGTTGCCAGAAGGACAACGGCCTGATGAGTTGGCCAACACACATTCTGATCAGCACCATTTTGTGCTGAATTCAACAATGTCGTAGCTCCACACTGCCCGCTGCAGGCATGCCCAAGCCCTTCTTCAGAATGTCTGATGCAGTAGGCATGGTCTTTCTTTTAAAGCGAAATCGCTTGCGGAACAGCCCTGACACGCGCGCGCTCTTTCGAATCCTGATCTAGTCACCCTGGCCCTATTATTGGGACTCACACAAAGGAACCTAATAAAGACCCATGGTTGCATAATCAGGTTCCTATGTTAGTTGCTTCCAACCCTCAGATACATCTCGATCCCACATTGTCCCTGTACCTTTCCTTAATTGCTGAGTTCACAAGCCCCTAAAAGTGTATACTTTCAGTTTTATAGTGGGTAATATTATCCCAAAAAGTGTGACGCTCTTCTGTCTTGCCATGACACTAGCAGGGAACCCTAAACCGTAAACCCAAAAACTAGCGGTCGTGTTCGGCGTCGCCGTCGTCGTCTTCGTTTACTTTGCCACTGGTGTCGCCACCTTCTGCGTCGTCGTCCTCCTCGTCGCTGCATGGTCATCAAACATTGTTGGGGTTTAGGGTTTGAAGGTGGGGGGTTTAAGGTCTAGGAAGCTTTGTAGGAAAGCTTCCCTAAACCCTAAAACCTAAACCCTAAACCCTAAAACCTACACGATAAAACTTAAACACTTCGAAGCTTCGTTTCTCGGATATGGGACTTTGTGTTGCTTGTGGCTGCCGGGCTTTTGGCTCGCACCTGCAGGGTATGCCTTTGCAACATGGAGCTACTCTGCTGCAAGTAATAGAGGGGCCGTAAGAATTCGAAGAGGATTCTGGGGTATACTATACTACAGTGATAATCGGGACAATGAGGGTATAATAGGGTTTTGGGGTATATTGCACTGTGCTAGGTTCATAGTCGGTACTAGAAGGGGATAACCGTGCGAATTATTTAGGCCCCTATATTACGTCTTAGTTGCTGAGTTCTTAAGCCCCAAAAAGTGTACACTTTTAGTTGTTGTAGTGGGCCAGATTATCCCAAAAAGTCTAAAGTGTATCCACCCAGCTCCTAAGAAGTTCCTCTGTTTGGGAACGGCTGGGGAGGGCGACGCCCCCAGACTCGAGAAGTAGAAGCTGAGCTGAGTTTTATGGCTCGGGAACTTCGTGTTGACATAGAGGCCCTACCAACAAGAATTAGAATAGGGATCCCTTTAATTAAAGCGATCCTTAAAAGGGTTCTATAAGGGATCTAAAACAGGGTTCTATAGTAGGGGCCTAAATCACGACCAACACTATTTCGGGGGCGTCTTATTACACTTATAGTGTAATGGTCCCCAAGACCCTATTCTAGGTATTAAGGCCCCTAAAAAAAGGCCTGAATCCCAAACAACGACCCTACTTGGAGGGTCCGGGGACTTAGTACAGTAACTGGCTGCTTTAACTTTAAGGATTTATAAGTACCATAACCCCAATTAGGATCCCTTTTAAGGTACTTATAAGTCTACTTACTACCTACTTACTAAGTCCCTAAACCCCTAAACCCTAAAACCCTATAGTACCCTTATAGAGCCCTTTAAAGGAACCCCAATAATCCCCGTTAAAGGAGCCCCTTACTTACTAAGGCCCCCGACCCTCCAAGTAGATCCTGAACCCTGAGCTTGCCGCAACTCCAGACTAAGGGTTTGGGGGGTGCTTCTCAACGCTAAATACTTCAGGAAAGTCCAAGGAGCAATACTTGTAGACGGGTAGCTGTCACCAGCCGTTCAAGTTCCTAGATTACCGGGTATAGGGCTTCTGTGCGTGATGGCTTGTGCCTTCAATTCTGAACCACTGCCTCTGCTGCTGCCTCTGCTGCCACTACGACGACGACTGCTACTGCAAGTAAGTACCATGAAGCACCACAACTGCCACTACCACCGACACCACCACCACCACGAGGAGGAGGAGGAGGACGAGCACCGCCGCCACTACCGCTTACACGATGCACCACTACCACTGCCAGTGCCACTGGCACTGGCACTACCACCACCACTACCCCTACCCCTACCCCTGCCGCTCCCGCTCATGCTCCCGCTCCCGCTCCTGCTGCGACTGCAACTGCAACTGCGGCTACTACTAGTACCTACTGCTGCTACTACTACTACTCCTCCTCCTGCTGCTGCTGCTGCTGCCACTCCTCATCCTCCTGCTGCTACTACTACTGCTACTGCTGACAATACTGCTAGAACGTTGGTCATCGTCATCATCATGGTCGTCAGCAGTCTTTACCATCTTCATCTTCATCATCATCATCATCGTCATCGTCATGCTGATCATCTTCGCCATCAACTCCTACTGCCTAAACTCCCTACCCCCTGGCCGTAAACCCTGAATTTAAACTCCTTGAACCTCAAACCTTAGACTCCCCGAACCCTACTTGGAGGTTCTGGGGACTTAGTGTCTGGTTATTTTGGGGACTTATAAGTACCATAACCCCAATGAGGGTCCCTTTTAGGGTACTTATAAGTCTACTTACTACCTACTTACTAAGTCCCCCGACCCTCCAAGTAACCCCAATTGAATCTCGAGCGCTGGGGCACAAGCTGATCTAGAGGGCTCCGAATCAAGACCAGGGCTCCACCCCAACGGGTTTAACGGAGGGAGCTTAGAGCGTCTAGGGATGTACAATCGGAGCCTTAGTTAGAAAAGGGTTTTGAAGCCCATTAGACTATGATCATAATGAGGAACCCCCAAACTAGTATTGGTAATGATTTTGGACCCTATATTGGGGAGTTTACGGTTTAGCGGTTCCCTCCTGGGTTCAAGTAGCCTAAAAAAAGCTTCTTTTGTGGATGCCTTCGCAAGCTCTACATGCTGGCTACTCTGTAAAATACGGCGCCTATCTATCGTCACATTCGTCTTCTTCTTCTACTGCTACGACAACGACTTCTGATACCCCCAGAACTCCATAAGGGTACCATAAAGGTCCCTTTAAGGGCCCTTTAAGAGTTCTATAAGGGTGGGTTTTGGGTGTATTACGGGAGCTTCCGAAAATTAGGGGTACCTTACTTTGGTGTACCTTATTATAAGGATCCTACTATTTAGGGTTCTATATTAGGGTCCCCTAACTTTCGGAAACCCCCTTACTGTTCTGAATGAGGCGGTCTCTTGGATCAGAGTTCATGACAGCTCCACAGCATTGACAGCGCCTTCCCAGAGGCTCCAAAACCCCTTAATTCAGGATTATTGCCTTAAACCTAGGGTTCCTTAAAGGGCTCCTTAAAGGGATCTATAAGGGTACTATAAGGTAATAAAGGAATGTACCTTAAATCATATTAGGGTTCCTGTTGAGTTGTAGTTTATAGCCTCTCGGTTTATTTAGTAACGCCTAGGAGAGAGACGGCTGTTACTTGTCCAGGCAGGGTTTACGGTTTAGGGTGGGCTCCTGGTTTGGGGCTTTGTGGCGGGTTCAGGGCTTAGGGGGGTTTTAGTTCTGGTGCTTGGGATTTGATGGAAGAGCCCTTGCCTTGATTTTGGCCCGAGTTGGAAAACTAAGTCTCGCTCAATGCCTCTGCCCTGATGCACCAGTGGCGGACATGTTCTCAAAATCTTTAGGGCTTGTGGTGTGTAGGGTTTACGGTTTAGGGTGCAGGCCTTGGAGCCAGAAATCCCAAAAATCCTCAACTCATCCCAGTATACGAGCTTTAGGCACTACCAGTACGGCCACACAACCCTCGAGGTGAGTCACCGAACGTTTAGTCATGGTTGGGATAGGATTAAAAACATAAATATATATATATATATATATATATTCCTTATTGGATTTAAGTACCCATAAACATGTAACATGTTACCCAACTATGACAAAGTAAACCCCAAACCCTAAATCGCGGTAAAGCGTTTCCTTTAGAGGCCACGGGCGTGAAGAAGGAGTGCGAAGCTCTGCAGTTGAAGTTGCTCTCCGAGCAGGTGGGGCCTTGAGCCTGAAATGCCGGGGCTGAAATGCCGGGGCATATTATACTTAGGGGTGCTTAGAAATATTTTTAAATTTTTGGTTATTATAATCTCTGAGAAACAGCTAATTTTTTGAATGTTTGCTAGGGGGTTCTAAGTTCAGTATAGTATACCTTAACCCACCAAAACCTACCAAAAAAGTAGGGTCCCTATAAATTCCATATTAGGGTTTATCATACGAACCAACCAACAAAGTAGGGTTTGGTAGGTTAACCCTAAACCCTAAACCCTAAACCCTAAGGTAAATCCTAAACACCGAACCCTCAGACCTCTACTTCAAGACGAGACTGGCGTCAAGGCGTCGAGGCATCGCAGGGTGGCAAAGGCAAGACCTCAAACACTGTGCCTGCAGTTCCTACGGACAGGGAACGGTGTAAACGTTAGAAAAAAGTCTTCATTTAGGACGTTGAGCAAGTTTTCGAGACATTTTCGCATTGTCTTCGTCTCTGTCGACCCTGGCGACGTCGACACCAACCAGAACCCCTGTGATGAAAGGGTGCACGGATTCTTCAGGACTCACTCTACTTGGAGGCTCTTGAGTAGTTATGCATGAGGTTGTAAGTCTTCTGATCTTGGTTTGTTGTGGTTAACCTACTGCAAATTTATGACGACCCCTTAACCTCAAGTACCTTACGAATCATCCTGATTTGTGACATCGCCGGCATCTTCCCCTAAAGCCCCAAATCCTGAAGCCTCAACCCCAACCTCACAAGTCCAACTAATCTAGGGGTCCCAGTTGACTACTAAACCCTAAACCCTACATGGAGGGCAGGGGACTTAGTAAGTAGACTATAAGTACCCTAAATTGGGGTTAACCCTACTTGTAACACACTTAATAAGTCCCCTGCCGCTCCAAGTATCCGATATCTTCGCTCCGGGAGCTGCAGGGCACAGGGGGGTCCCCAATGAAAAAGCAAACTACTGCAATGCGCACTGCTTGTCCTGGCACAGGCTGCAGGGTTTCGGGCTTAGGGTTTAGATTCTGGGGCTCGGGGTTTAGGTTTGTAGGATTTTCGGTTTGGAGTTTAGGTAGGGTTTCGGGTTTAAGGACTTTACGCAGTGACGGGGAATCCAGGGGCCATGAGAGCTAGCATGGGGGGCTTGGGGGTATGCTATAGTGTTTTTCCAAGCCTAACAAATTATGACTCTACTTACATGATCCGAAATTGCAGGAATGGTATTCTGATGTCTAACCTGGTAACAATGTCCCATAGGCCTTCAAGTTGAAGGTTTAAAGCGTTTAAGGTTTATGGTCAAGGTACTTGGAAATTCATAAGTTGTTATACATGGGGTTACATGTAAGCTAACTCTAACTATGACCATTCTATACTGCACTTGGGACCCTAGCAAGAATTATGATTTCGTCTGTTTCTTAGGGGCTATAGATACCCCAAACGTAAAAAAGTATATCTAAGTACCGCTAACTCCAACTATAACCCATATTCGGAGAACTAAAACCCCACTGTTGGAGCTGAGGCTCGGGGGTTCAACCTCGAGGGTCGGGCTCTTTGAAAACAGACAGAATAAGTGGTTTAGGAGCCTAGAATTCGGCTTTTAGGATTTTCAGGGTTTCAATACTTTTTGATGTCAGGTTTAGGACTTTGAATTTGAGGTTTAGGGTTTTAGGATTCGAGGTGTAGTGCTTCAGGTGCGTGAACTCATTTATTGTGAATTGACTGCAAACGGGAATAACCATTGAAACGAACACCATCCTTCGTGAGAACTATGCCTTGATTGCGCCTACCAGAACCAACAAGCCAACTACCACGACAAGAATCTTGTGGCAGTTGTTCATGATGGAAATACGAGGTCCCAAAATAGTAAAGCACCCTTATAAAACGGACCCCAGAAGGGACCTAATATAAAGAACTACCCATACTGTACCCTTATGGAAAGCCCAGAGGAACCGTGAGAGATCCGATTACGGGACCCTAAGAGGGGAACCCTAATATAGAGACCTGCCCATATGTTCGTGCTTTCGTACTGCCAGTGGTTGCATAGGAAAAGGACGTCGGGCCCAAAATCTATTCGGCTCAGGGCTGGTTTGTTAAGGCTTCGGATTACTTGAGGGTTTCTGTGCAACTGTGAGTGGGCTTCCAAAGACGGCAGCGGAAAACATCTCAGATTAGCCCAACACCCAAATATAGAAATTAGAGAACTATATCAAAACCAGGCGCGATCACCCAATCAAATCACTCTAATCCCAAACAACCCAAACTCTCACCCCTAAACCCAAACCTTTCTCTGCCTGCGTGGACAAAGCCCAAGTTAGGCTTGGACATCCAAGCATAATTTCTGAACTTGTCAGTGAAAAACAAACTACCAGCAACAACGCGCCTATGGGTAAAAGTCTTCAAAGTTCGTGCTTTTTTGTCGGGAACCTTTCAAGGAACCCTGTTCAAATACCTACGGTTGATGATATAAATCCTGCATTACCTTAAGGGCCCTAAACTATGGGAATTATGGTATATTCCTTATTAGGGGTAATGCAGGATTTATATCATCAACCGTATCACCCCCATATGCAACTCTATAAAGCCTTTCGCCACTGGTCCTCGTTGACCAGCGGCTTGTCAGGAATCGCTGCCCCCGGAGGCAGCGGTTGGCCAGCCCTCACCAAGGGCGATTACAAGGCCTTCATGCAAGGGCCTCAGTAATAATTTGAATATGGTTTTTGTGTATTTTCCAACATACTATGTAAGGACAAGCGGGAACAGTAGTCAAAAGCTGTGTTAGGTTTTTGCACTACTTGAAGGTTCACAGGCAGTGATACGTGGCAATGTACCTTCATTGGGTGAAAAGTACATGTGAGGATAACCACCTTACTTTACAACCCCATGTACTACCCAAAGAGCCCGATACCCCTTTCATAAAGGAATAGACCGTGAACCATACTCTTGAGGCCCCTGAAATTTGAGGTGTCTTCCCGAATCAATGAATCAAGGGGTACTGGCGGGTACCGGAATTGGGGCTCAGGGCCTGGGGGCTCACAGCATCCGGGATCGTGAGAATTCGGTTTAGGGTTTAGGGGTTAGGGGATCTATGAGCATACTGTTGATGATATAAATCCTTACCTTAAGGACCCCGAACTATGGGAATTCTGGTTTATTCCTTTTGATGGCTAATGCAGGATTTCTATCATCAGCCGTATGGGGTGTGTGGCTATGTGTCTGTGGGTGCAAACGCATTTTGCATTTATTTTAGAGCTCGAGGCTCTGGAGGCTTCTAAGGGTTCCTTTAAAGGGGTCCTTTAAAGGGATCTATAAGGGTATAGGGTTTAGGGCTTAGGGTTTAGAGTGCTTGGAGGGTCGGGGGACTTAGTAACTGGCTATGTTATGGACTTATAAGTACCATAACCCCAAGTAGGGTCCCGTCTAGGGTACTTATAAGTCTACTTGCTACCTACTTACTAAGTCCCCCGACCCTCCAAGTAAGCATTAGGCCTCCGGAGATGTAGGCCTTAGTCAGGGTTACCCTCTCCCTAACACTAAACCCTAAACCCTAAATCCCTACACAACTGAACCCCTGAACCGTGGTAGACCCTAACGAAACACGTAAACTCTGAAACACTGCTCGGGCAGAGACCAGGGGTCTTCTTCCACGTGGATGCCAAAGACTTTGATTGGCTTGGACGGCCTTGGGCTTAGGGTGTTAGGGTCATAGGGTCTGGGTCTTAGGGTCTTAGGGTTGAGAGTTTCAGGGTTTAGGGGTTGAGGTTTAGGGCTTAAGGGTTTAAGGGTTAAGGGTTTAGGGCTTTATGCAAGGACACGACGATCACTCGGACAAAGCAAATGATGGTTTACGGGTTGAGGGTTTAAGGATGTAAGACACTTGGACAGCATCATGTGGGATCTTGTGTCTTGCAAGCTTGGTCCACATGAACTCATTCAGTCAGACAGCGTTGGTGGGGCATGAATCGCCATTAATTATACATACGTGCATACGTACATACATACATGCATACATACGTACATACATACATATATACCCATTTCGGTGGCAGTGCGGAGAAACATCAATTTGGTCTGCCCTAACCTCGAGCCCCATGCCTAAAACATCATCTGCCCTACAGAGAAACCCGAGCATGAGGGCTTCGGGTTTAGGGTTTTGGGTTTGGCGTTATGGTTTAGGATTTAGGGTTTACTTGGAGAGGCGTCTCGGCCCGAGCTGCGTCAGGCTTCTGTCCCCTCTAGGGGTTTTTTTGCCTCCGCAGCCTACCAGACCCCAAGCTCTTTTCGCAATAGCGCCTGCGGCGCCCTCGTGGGGCACGCATTGTGCTTTCCTTCTGCTGGAGGCACCGAGAGCAGCGAGCTCTCTTTGCGGCTGGAGGCCGCGTCTTTGCGGCTGGAGGCCGCGTCTCTGTGCCCTGTGGTTCACTGCTTTTCGATAAGCTGACCCCCGTGGCATATGAGCCCAAGGGCGTCCTGGGGACCCCTCATACCACTTTTTCTGCTGGGAATTTGGCTTATTTGGATTGGCTCGGAGGAGAGCCCTGATACAGCCCTCACTTGGCCACGTGGGGCCTTATACCACGGCAAGGAAGGGCCGCAGATCAGCGAGCCCACCTTGGCACCGCAGGGAGCGGAAAGCCAGGAGCAAAATACGAAGGAAGATCCAAGCTGGACGAGCCAGCTTATCAGAGGTCCGGTGGCTGGCCAGCCATCACGGACACATGGGGCCCAAGACGAACCCGAAGGACAGAGCAGGCAAAGGCCGCGGCAAACAAGATGGCGCTGCTGCTGCTGCACAAGTTTCTCGCATCGACTTCGGGCTACCACAATCTGTCGTAGCCTCCTTACAGGCTATCGCAGCTCGCTCAACGCAGGACCTTTGGTCCTCCCCTGCCGCCGTGGCTGCCGATCTTACCATCGAACAACAACACTCACGCCAGGCATCCGCCTCGTACAAGCTCTCCAAGAGAATTGCGGGGAATTCAAAGGCGAAAGAAGATCTGGCATCGGCCTTGGCAGAATGGGCAGGTTCTATCGGCCTCCACCTTGTCGGCTTGGTGCAACGGGTCAAAGCCCTGGGAGACAAAATCGACGAAGACCTACGCGCCGCATGTCAGGAGATGGAGACAACTTTGGTGGACCTTCCGTCTTCAACGACAGCGGAACGCATCCAGGCCGCGAGCATGAAGCTTGGGCCAGTGTGGACAGCACCGCAGGCTTCCGAGATTGTTCGGATCGCCTCCGCTCTCCGTGCTTTCAGTGTGGTCCCAGGTTCAGCTTCGAGCAGCGGAGATGGAGCCCTACCAACACACGGCGCTATTTTGGGGCACCCAGGGATTGGCACGTTGCAATCCAGAGAGGCTACGGTTTTTCTGGGTACGCCAGGAGCCCCGTCGTCAGCTTTGGGTGTCTCGACCACTCCGAGGTCGCTCGGAGCGGTTACGGTACCCGCCCCGTCTGGTGTCATGGGTCCCGCCCCGAATGCAGAAGGGCGGACGGACTTCGGGGATACTGGCCAGAGGCATCGGCTGTGGAAAAGGGGCAATGTGGCTCTCCCACACAGGCCGAGCAAGAGTCCCCGCAGAGAGGAACCTATGGGGATGGGGCCCGGGGCCCCAGCGCCATCAGAGCCTGCATCCACGCCGTGGGTGCGTGGGACAACAGGGAGAACTCCGGAGGCGGTGCACCGACCGTCCCTTACAGAGGTGGCCGACGATATCGAGTTGTTGCCAGACCCCTCGTCAGTCAGCACACCTACGTCCTGGATTGGCGCATGGCAGCAAGCCGCTTTGTTCTGTTGTGCCAACGGGAGCGAGCTCATCAACGAACTCACAGCCGATCCGGAACAAGACGCTATTTGGCCTCTACACTTGGGGACAGATACAGATGCGGCAGGTTTGCAGGCCGAAGCGGAAGCGTTTTGGGCTGCGTTACCTCACGCCGCTGCCACGGCAACAGAGGAGATGTCCGCCGATCTCGTGGCCTCCTGTCAAGATCTCCTGCAGAAGCTACGTTTGTGCCCGGGAGCCCTTGCAGGCGTGCGACAAGGAGTGGTCGTTTTGATTCAGGCGACCCTCGGCAATCTCCTGGATTATCGGCAGTACGGGCCGGCTACTGCACAGGAATGGCTCTATCCGTCCTTGTTGATGGAACATGGTACTGCCTGTCAAGGTATACTGCCCACCCAACTGGTCGAGAGCATGCGTCCTCTTCTGAGATCTCCGGATCTTCCCCACAGCGCATCTTCGCAAGCGGCGGATGGAGCACTGTAGCGCGATCTTTGTACAAATTCTTGTACATAGCTGCTGCAGCTTCTGTGTATACTGGGGTTCTGCTTTTGCTTGTACAGAGCATTCAATGGAGAACGGTCCGCCGATGGGGCATGCATACTGTTCTTTGGGTAGGAGCGCTATGCTTGCAGTACCGCAGTGTGAGACTGAGGGGCCCCAGACACAGAGCTCCGAGCACATTCTCTGTGGCGCAACCGAGTCCCAGTACTTTGCCTGGTACTTTCAGACGGGTTTTGTCATGCAACTGCCGGAGTAGGCCGTTCCGTGGTCTTTTCTTCATTTGGCTCACCCTCACCCCGGGAGGCTCAGCAGTTCAGATCTACCCAGCTGGCAGTTGGCACGGCCAGCCTATCTTCACCACAGGCGCAGTACCTGCTGAGGATAGCGTCAGGTCGCTTGCACCCGTCCGCTTTTCGGCACCACCTTTGACCGAAGCTACTCTTTCGCACCCGGCCCAACCAATCAGGGATGTTGGGGTTTATTGCAGCGAGTGCTCCCAAACGCCTACGCTCCTACACGTAGATGATAGGGCCAGAGGTTCTGTGCTGCACTGTGACCTGGCCTCTGCCCTGGGGATGCAGGCTCATGAGTGGGAGATGCGTCGCCTCATTGAAAGGCTGCCGGCCACACCGCCTGAGTGCTATGTCTTGTCTCCTAGGAGTCTAGCCTGGTACATGTGTCTAGTGCCGATTGATCTACGGCCGATGGGAGGGTCTATTCGCCTCCTCCAGGTTCGGCGAGATCGGCCCTGTATCGAGGCTATCAGGGGTTGCCTTTTGGATTTAGGTCAGGACATCTCCCGGCCCATGCTTATCCGTACTGGGATTGGCTTGTTTCTCCCCACCGCCTCGGTTCTGCTTCTTCCCGAAGTTGACGCCTTTCAGGTGTGGCCTGGGCCTGATGTGGTGGCCCCGCTCAGCGACTCGGACTCGTTGACACAGCCGCCTTCCATTGCCGATCGGTTCGCGCTCAGCCTCACAATGCCTCATGTTGCTGAGTCTTCTTTCCATGAGGCTTCTGGCAGTAATGCTGTAGTCATTTCGGGTGACGGGCTTATCTATGTCGCTGCACCCTCATATTGTGACCATCTCACCTTAAGATCGGCAGTGTTGCAGGCCTTCCTTGAGGATGGAGGTGGGGATCGCCGTGTTCCTCTCCACTTTGCCCGTGTTCTGCCACCGCTAGACGGTCTGCCCTCTGTGCAGTTTGCTGCGCTTCGCTGCACTGCCGGAATGTCCCCTGCCCTCGTTGACTTGCGGCCCATGGGAGGCGCCCTGCAGGTATTCGGGGCCAGCATGTACGACACGCCAGCGATGCGTATTCAAGCAGCAATTGCTAGGAGTGGCGACCCGGCCGCTCGCCGACCGCTCACAGCACAACTCGCTGCCGGCAGTGTTCAGGTCATGCACCGCGAGGTTGTTGTTAACCCTTTTGTGGTTATACAGGGCCAGCCTCCTATCCCTTTGGTTGTAGTCTCCCGTAGGCCCAATCTTGCCGCAGGTTACCGGGATGCTGAGGGTGAGAGTCAGGATTCTGCAGACCAATCGCTTGAGGAGGCCTACGAGCAAAATCCCTCCCCTCTTGAGGTCTCTCCAGCAGTGCAACCATCACGTGGATGGGTTCTGGTTCTCCTTGGGTGCTTTCATTGGCGTCTCTTGGGGATTGCGCTTTTAGGGGGGCTTTCGCCTGCTGCTGGCATGGTACCAGGTTTCCAAGAAGGGGTACCCCTTCAGGTCAGGTCTGAGGAGGAGGTTGATGACCCCCACCATCTCTTCCCGGCGCTCGCCAGCGTACAGGAACACTACCGGTTATCCCTTCGCTTGTCCTTCCCCGATTCACTTACGCGTCTTTCGTGGATTGATGCTGCAGGCCTGCCGGGCCGTGTACACACTATGTTCTGTTTCTCCGTCGCTAGTCCTGCTGAGACGTTCCGTTTTTACCTGCAAGGGGACCGCCCTTTCTTTCATTTCAAGGAACTCTTGCAGCAGTGTTCCGGAAGGCTGGGACGCGGCCCTGCCGTTCTGGTATCACCTATGCCTCTGCATCGATGTGTTCAGTTTGTTGCCCCGCCGCGGGAGCTCACTCACTACACCGTTCTCCTCGACACTGGCACCCGCCGGTATTGTGTTGATGTTCCACACCAAGGTGCAGGTCAGGCCGCCCTATCAATTATTCATTTATTGGAACCGGGTCACAATTTTAGACTGGAAGTGCAACCAGGCAGAGGGATACGCACTGGAGATGTCATCCTCGCGCACGCTGACGAGGACAGCAAGCCTTTTGAGGTTGGGCCTATCTCCATTCCGCTGGGCGCCAACGCTGTTCAGTGGCTCTCCCTTAGCACCAGCGTATATGTCACCTCGGCTGACCACCAATTGCTCTGCATTCAGGCACC